GTACCCAAGTTAGTGTTTTAATTCTTAAAACCTGCTTAACAACTAAAATGTGGAATGGTTGGCCTGGGTTGGCTTGGGACGAGCTGGGACCCAGGGTCGGGTTGCCAGTTCGGTCTGAATCATCGTAGGCCTTGGGTTAAGGCAGGTTCGTGTGGGTTCACGGCCTTGATAAATAATATTGTATAGTTCTAGAATCGTGTTTCCAAAATAGCTTTGCGCAACCAAGTGTCTTTAAATGCTGTTTACTGCAACCCTAACCCTTTATAGTATAACTCCTTTGTACTCCCTTGCATTTATTCTGCACTTGTGGGTGTGTCTTGTTGAGTACGGTGGTTGTACTCAGTCTTGCTCAATTTTTCCCAAACCCAGAAGAGGAGTTCCTGGAGGATGAAGGCTTTGGTGTCTAGCTCGTGCCTGCCGTCAAGCGCCTGTGGTCGTCGCCCTAGTCTTCCGCTGTTTCTCGTTTGTCGTTGTGTGTGCTGGGCCTTCGCTGCCCATGTAATAAATTAACTATTTACGCTTCCGCTTGTTAAACTCTGAATTGTATCAACTTTTGGTGTACCTTGCCTCCTGGGACAAGGAATAATACACGCACGTAAGGAACGCCCGTTGGGTTATTTCCGGTCGTGACATAAATATTTAAGAGAATTGTAAAAAAGTTGAATAATTAAACAGTATTAGATAAACACCATACAACACACCCGTGTTGCATAGCCCCAACCTCATTTGAACAACCAACCCCGGTTGTACAAATCAAACCTCCATACCAGGAATATACCATTCCAAACTAGGAGTCAAATTATTTATCACAATTATTATTAATGTGTAATGTGAGACTAATCACGAAAAACATTGCTCAACTCACCCATAACCGCGGGCACGGCTATTCGAATAGTTTTACTCTGATCAGAGGTGTACCACTGTACCCACAAGATACAATCCCACAACATGTCACCATGCGCCTTAGCACCACCACGGTACCTCGGAAAGGAACTGTGACAATACCCCTCGCACAACACAACTCACCACAGTGCACCGTTCCTGGATCATAATCTCCCCCTCAAAACCAGAGGCAATGGACTCCCCAGCGACCCCCACGGACTTCTCGCCGCTTCACAATCTGGCACACTATAATGAATCATGCTATACAAAAGATAAAGCCGTTGCCCACGCTGGCTTGTGGTTGGCACGGTAAATATTTCACAACAGTATCTCGCGAACCGGTCCTTAATTGTCATGAGCACAACCATCAAAACCATATGCTCACAACCCACCTTAACCAGGTTTTAATTATCAATTAATTAACATAACATAACACGATTAACCATCGTGAGCTACCATTAGATATAACCATAATTAATAATAATGTAATATAATTTGTGTACAATCCCATTAATTAGCTAATGTTTCTAAGCATGGCTAAGCAAACATACATACGGCATTTAGCTGAACCAATCCAATATATAAGGTCCAAGCTAATCAAATTATAACCCATAGGAAAATAAAGTCATCTTCGGCCATTAATTAATTGGGAAAGGTTCACCACCCGATGACATTTGAAAATAATGCATAATTTGAAATAAAACATTAGCTTTAAACGGGTTCAACATGCTCAAAGGGTCGTTTGGGATCTGTGTGACTTGCCTTGAGCTTCCACAAACACTTCCGAACCTTCTTCGACTCAAACGTTCTCCTCGGGAACGTCGGAAACTAAAGCAAAAAGACAAAATCAACAAAACAGTACAAAAACAAGCATAAACAGTACATGTGGATATTTTTAACATGTAGATCTCAATTTTAGAAAAAAATTAGCAACTTGAATCACTCGAATCGAAGTTACGATGAATTAGTTATGATTTTCCGAAGTTTTAATCTATTTCATCTATTAAAAAAAACTAAAAAGAAAAGGTTATGACGTCATGCTGACGTCATCAATGGCGGCCTCGGCTCGGGCGGCACGACCACCGGCGCTACGGACCTTGGCCGGGCGATTAGAGGGCACCTATGCGTAGAGGGCGACGACACGATCTCAACGGTACTCACCAACGCGACGAACGACGACGGATGGTGGCCGGCGGCGAGGTTATGCGGCGGCGGCGGATCGGTCGACGGCGGCGGCGGCTTCACGGCGACCGACGACAGCGGCGAGGGGGCGGCCGAGCTAGCTCTCCCTCACGCGCACTTAACGGCAGTGAGAAAAGGCGGCGGCGACAATGCAAGCGGCGGCGCGGCGCGGCTGAGCGGCGGCCGGCGATGGCGGCGACTAGGGCGGCACGGCGGCGACTCCACGGGGCACTAGAGAGCTCGGGAAAGGGGGCAAACGAAAGAGGGCGACTAGGGGGTCCTATTTATAGCCTTGGATTGGAGAGATCGGACTCCTACCGCGAGGAATCGAGCCGGGAAAAACTAGGGTTTGTTTTGGGGATAAACTCGAAAACGAGTTTGATTCGGATAATATACTCAACGATTTGCTCCGAATCTTGGGGGTAAAGATAGAGGAGAATGAGAGGATCAAAACCCCTCAATCAATCGGACACGGGGGAGACCGGATTGGGCAGAATCGGCGGAGGAAGGCGGCGGCTCGGACGGGCTCGGCCGGCTCGGCCGGAGGTTGAAGAAGGCCCCGACATGTGGGCCCCACATGTGACGGCTCGAGGAGGAGGGGGCGGGCGACGTCGGCTGGGCCGGCTTGGGCCGGTTCGCCCGCACGCGGGGAGAGAAGTGTTGGGCCGGATTCGGCCCAACGGCCTAGGGGAGGGTTTTTTTATACTTTTTCAATTAAAATAATTTGTGAAATGTTGTTTCATTTATTAAAAATACTTCCCTTGCTCAAATAATTCCCAGAAAAATCTAGAAAATAGAGGAACAAGCAAAGTATTTAATAAAATTTTATCTAGCTCAATTTTATGTTGAAAATTTTCCTAGCTTATTACAGTTTAACTTGTAGGCTTTTAAAAATAATTTCTAAAAATGATTTAAAATATGCATTATTAATTTAGGCGATTTTTAGGGCGTGACACAAGTAGACGGCGTTTGAGACATATTCTTAGGAGGTGCTTTAGCGCTGAAAGTTCTATTTGCTCTTGCGCTGCGTGTAGGCATTGTATAACATCAAGCTAGGAAAGTGTATGGGTTTGGAGACAAAAGATTTATACAGGTTCAGGCCTTCTTATAAAAGAAGTAATACCCTACTCCTGTCCGGGGATGAATCCGCCGAGTGTATTATTGATTGTATGATTCGGGAAAAAATCAGCATATGCCCCTAGAGGCGCCCGGACCCCCCTTATATATGGGAAGGAGTCCGGATTACAAAAGATAATCTATATTCCTAACGGAATATGAAGATACAGATAAAATACAGTCGTAACCGACTAAGTCTCTGGGTGTTTCCTTGATACGCAAGTTAAGAAACAAACCCGAGATACAGATAAGATATTCTATCTACATTAGGTATCCTGTACCCAGTTCGAATACCATCGCCGTGTAGATATGGGATACCCATAATCTCCACAGTAGCCCCCGAGTCCTTTGCAGTCGACCATCATAGCCTTCTCAAAGATGATAATCCGAGTACTTCAAACTCTTCAAGCCAAAATCTGCCGAGTGGACTGTAAAGGGCGAGAATATGGTGCATCGAATAGATGCACCTAATTAGGTGTAGCCCCCAACTATGTGATTAGTTAACAAACTAAACATATAGTTGAAAGACAAAATAATAACACAATTGTGCATTATATGACAAAAGCATACGCGGCGCCTAAATAGGCATGCTAGCCGACTGCTTTTTAGCCACAATAAAAGAAATCCGAGTGGTTTACACTCTAAAAAGTTCACGAATGAACACACTTGACAGGCATCCGAATATAAAAACTCTAAAGATTACCCATCAAGTATTATAAAGATTATGGTAATAAATAAGTCAAATAGCCTAGGCCATGACTATTTACCATGAAAACAGGCATATAATACGCCAAGGAAATGACTATAATAAAAACAAGTCATCCCTAGTTAACCCAAACAGCTTTTGTAGCCTAAAAAAGCTTGCAAAAACAGCATAACGCCTTTCTGTCGGGCACCTTTTTAATTTGCATTGCAATAATTCCAAAGAATTATATGACCGCGTAAAAAGGATTTGATCAGCATTGGGCAACACTGTTGTGCGCATAATATTGCCAAAGCAAAATATGCCTAAGTCCCTAAGGAACACAATGGGCCACGCTGTTAAAAGTATTGGGCTGAAATACTGTTCAGGCCTAGGCCCATTAGCACCTCCGATACCCTTAACTGAAAAATCCGATATCCAAGCGACGCTTCGTCTTCCCCGCCGGAACTCTCGCCATTTTCCCCACTCCCTGCTACAGTGTAAAGCTGCGCCGGCGAACTAGGGTTCACAGCTCCGGCCAAATCCACCTCCGAAAAGTGCATCAAAATCCTTCCCGTGATCCACCGCCTCAATCCCTCACCTCTCCCTAGCCATCCTTCAAATCAAATCAGCACATTTGAGTGAAACCGATGGCGGAAGAGAGAGAAAGCTTCGAAGGCCAATGGGCGCCATCCGACGTGACGGAGGAAAATCTTAAGGAGATGATGGCGCACGGCGTTCTCCCTGCCAAGGAGATCATCGGGTGGCGACCAGCGCACGGTGAGGCTTTCCCGTCTCCGGATACTCATGAGATTGTGGTCTTCTCGCATTTCTTCTACGGCGGCTTTGCTCTTCCGACCTCAAAATTTTTCCGCGGGATCTTGAATTTCTATGGAATCAGCTTGCATCACCTAAACCCGAATTCCATAGTGCATATCGCCAATTTCATCCATGCTTGTGAAGCCTTTTTGGGGATCAAACCTCACTTTGCCCTATTCCGCCGGATCTTCTTCCTCAAGCCCCAACCAAACAAGAACAAACCGTGTGTAGTCGGGGGGGCAGGATTCCAACTAAGGGGAACTCTGAGCCAAAAATATTTCTCGATGCCCTTCAAGACTTCGAACAAAGGCTGGCATGCAAACTGGTTCTATGTTCAGAATCCCGAGCCTGCTCTTCCCGGGTACTCTTGTCTTCCTCCAGTGTACCAAGATACTTGGAACTCTCTTCCAATCGGAGATGAAGCAGTACAAGCCTTGGAGTTGTTGGATCGTATGTTAAATCTTAAAGAACAAGGTTTACAGGGAGAGCAGATCACTCGGCACTTCATCAAATGCCGACTAGCGCCAATCAAGGAAAGATCCCGCACAGCATTCGAGTTCGACGGCAAACATGATCCCAACCGTGAAGAACCAGATTCCCTGGATTTCAAAATCATGAAGGAGAGGATGTATAAAATCTTCTCAAATGCAATTGTAGTCAGCTACTCTCATCAACTGCCAGTTGTGCCATATAATGCATTCAATCCGCCTCCACAGGTATGCATCGGAAACCCTCAAACCGTGATCAGAACATAATTTTATCTTCATGCTGAGTTGACTAACTATGGAAGCATCTTGTTCAGGAATATGCATTGATGAAGTCAGATCCACCAGTCACTCAGCGCCGGTCTCCTCGCCAACACACCGCTCAGGGAGGTGGAGGGCCAACGATCAGACCAGATCCGCAACCTCAGACCTCCAAATTGACTGGTCAAACAGGTCCTCGCAAGAGAAAGCTGGTACTTGACGATGATGAAGGTGACGATGATAAATCTGGGGATAAGGGCTCGCCTAATAAACCCCCAAAGCGCACCATGCCCAGGAAAAAACTGGCTGGCCGTGCGATGCCAAAGATCAGAACGTCTTCCAGGTATTAGATCTCTCGGCATGATTTCCGCTTCGGCATGTTTTCCGATGAAAATAATGCTAAATACTGAAAGAACACTCTGCAGGAAACCATCTGATATAGATCCATCTGGAAAAAACCCCGATCCTGCCATGACGGAGCAAAATATATCCAAGGACCCCGAGCCGACTGCTGACAACCAGCCGACCGCTGAAAGCCAGCCGACTGGCGCCCATGCTTCGGGCGATAGGGCCAATCCGAGTGACCTGCCGCCGACTGGAAACCAGTCGGCAACAACTGAAACGGCAACAACTCAAGAGCCCCCGACTGGAAACCAGTCGGACGCAGGCCCTGATCAAGAGATCCCCGAAGTAGAAGCGCAGACGACGACTTCGCAAGGACCAGAAGCTGGTAACGACTCGATAGCTGGGTCTTCAGGTAAAGAACAAAGATCACCTCACGCTCAGCTAGGTACATCTTCAGGTTAGTTGTCTTCTCAAACAATGGCGATTTAAATAACCTCAGTGTATCCGTCTAATGTCTTGGAAATACATCAGGACCATCAGGTGATGACGGAGAAGAAATTCCTCGCATAAAGGCGACCGACGACTCTCGTCCTCCTATCTTGATCAAATGGTGGGACGAGAACTCACAAGCTGCCGGCATAGTCATAAACCGTCAAAAAGAAGATGAAGAAGTGTGCCAGCTGAAGAAAGCGCTCGGAGAAGCCACTCGTATTGTAAATGTAAGTCTTCCGAGTGACGGCCTTCGGTAACTTTGTTTTCTTTTTAGCAGAACTGAACCATGATCCATCATGCAGAGAATCCATCTTCGCAATGAGGCCAAGACTACAACTTTGGAAAAGCTGGTTCCTCATTTGGGAACTCTAGAAACAGTTAGGGACCAGCTGCATGAGGCCAAGGAGTGCGCCAAAAAGACAGAGAAAGAGTTAAGGGACCGAATCGCCCAGCTCCAGGATGCAAACTTCGAACTAAGTGGTTCATCAAAAGGTAATCATCCAGATCTGTTTCATTGGTTTAAACTGGCATAACGGTATCCTCAACCATCTGAATTTCAAACAGCGCAAGCTGCCAGGATGGAACAGATGGTGAAGCAAATTGAAGCCCTGGAGAGAGACAAGACAGAACTAGCTGCGCAAAGGGACTCAGCCTTGAAGGAAGTCGAAGGTAACGCCAGCTAACAATCTGAGCTTCTCTCCTTATAATGCAACAGATGCTCATCATAAATGTGTTTTGCAGATCGCAAGATCAAATCTCAAGCTCAGTTTGACGTCCTGGTTGGTAAGATCAAGAGGCTTGAAGGAGCAAGGGATAACGTCGCCAATGCCGCTGCACCAATTATCCAAGCCATGTTCCTCAATAATGGTGGTCCGAGTGCACTCGACGCAACCGAAATATTTGACAAGCTGAGTGTTGCTCCGGAAGTATATTTCAAAAATATCAAGAAAGCTGGAAGTATGGGAGCTGGCATGGCCTTGGCGATGACAAAATCCTTGTACCCGAGAATTGAAGTCGATACCATTGATGGATTTGCAGACGGGACAAGTGAAGAAGCTGCTCTTGATCTTATCAGTAATGCTCAAAGTGCGGCTGACAAGATTGCAGGTGATGTTGTAGAACAATTCCGCAACAATGATCTTCAGCCGAGCGATAATAACTCTGATGATGAAAGGACTGATTCTGACTGAGTTTGAATGTAATACATGGAGGCTCAATTTGTACAATACTGGTGTATTTATGCTGTGCTTGATGATTCTTGCGAAGCTTTTGATTTCTTAAAAGTTTTTGCTAAGCTTTGTTGAGCCTAAAACCCAAAGAAGCTATTAAAAACTTTCAGTCCTCGCAAACTAAGTAGAAAAACCAAACAAGGCAATGATAAACCAAGTAAGCAAACTGAATTGATAAAAAATCACACTCCATTATTATGATGATAGCCCCCGACTGGCAACTTCAAGGAGAAAACTTGATGTTTGACAGTCAAAATAGGGAAATACAATGATAAAGTTAAGCGTAGAAACGACGAAGATGTTCAATGTTCCAAGAGTTGTCGACGAGAGTGCCGTCTTCGCGCTTGAGTCGATATGAACCTGGCCGGGTAACTTCAGAGATAATAAATGGCCCTTCCCATAGAGGAGATAACTTGTGCCGATCTCGTGTGGTTTGAATTTTCCGTAAAACCAGGTCGCCGACTAGAAAGGCACGAGATCGAACATTGCGATTATGATAACGTCGCAACCCTTGTAGGTACCGAGCTGACTGAATCAAAGCTGCTTCGCGGACCTCTTCCAGTCGGTGCAAGTCGTCCGCTCGGTCTTCTTCATAGCGTTCTTCACGGAAATTACGGAAGCGCAAAGATTCGAACTCGACTTCACTCGGCAACATTGCTTCTGCCCCGTAGACAAGGAAAAAAGGTGACTGGCCTGTGGCCCGACTGGGCGTAGTACGCAAAGACCAAAGTACTGATGGTAACTGTGACACCCATTTGCCGGCATAGGGTTTAAGCCGGTCAAAAACTCGAGCTTTAATCCCTTGAAGTATCATGCCGTTGGCCCTCTCCACCTGTCCATTGCTCATTGGGTGTGCTACTGAGGCATAGCAAATCTTGATTCCAAAATCTTCACAAAAGTCTTTGAAAACTCCGCCGGTGAATTGTGTGCCATTATCAGTGATGATCCGATTGGGTACTCCGAATCTGTGCACAATGTTGATGAAGAAATCGCGAGCATTATCTGCTGTAATCGTGACAACAGGCTTAGCTTCGATCCACTTGGAAAATTTGTCAATGGCCACAAAGAGGTGCGTGTAACCGCCGACTGCCTTTTTAAACGGGCCGACCATGTCGAGCCCCCAAACCGCAAACGGCCAAGACAGCGGGATAGTCTGCAACTCTTGAGCTGGTAGATGAATTTGTCTGGCAAAAAATTGGCAACCTTCACATGTGCGCACAATTTTGTCGGCGTCGGACACTGCAGTAGGCCAGAAAAAACCCTGCCGGTAAGCTTTGCCAACAATGGTGCGCGCTGCAGCATGGTTACCGCATATCCCAGAATGTATGTCCTTCAACAATTGTCTCCCTTCCTCTAAAGATACGCAGCGTTGCAGAATTCCTGAAGGGCTTTTCTTGTATAACTCGGCTTCATGCATAACATAAAGTTTGCTCCGCCTTGAAATCCGCTCGGCTTCGTCTTTATCTTGAGGCAGCTCTTGAGAAGTTAAAAATCGTATGAAGGGCTCTCGCCAGTCGGCTGCAACCATAGCTATGTCATGAGTGTCCGCAACTTGAGTAGCATCTTTGTGAGGTACTGTCGGCGAATAAAGGTGTTCGACGAAAACATCAGATGGCGCTGCCTCGCGCTTGGATCCAAAGTTCGCAAGTCTATCGGCAGCTTCATTGTTGTGTCGAAGAACATGGCTGAGCTCAAGTCCATCGAACTTATCCTCCAGTTTGCGTACCTCTTGTCGATATGCCATCATGTTGTCGTCAATGCAGGACCACTCTTTCATAACTTGGTTAACAACCAGCTGTGAATCACCTCGAACAATTAGACGCTTTATCCCTAGGGAAATTGCAATCCGTAGCCCATGAAGGAGCGCCTCATACTCGGCGACGTTGTGAGACGCCGAAAAATGTATCCAAAGCACATAACTTAGTCTTTCTCCAGTCGGGGAAATTAAAACCACTCCAGCTCCAGTGCCTGAAAGTCTTTTTGACCCGTCAAAATGCATGGTCCAGTGCTCTATTTTCTCCACGGGGGTATCCTCTTGGCACTCGGTCCACTCGGCGACAAAATCAGCTAACGCTTGGGACTTGATTGAAGTGCGGGGCTTGAATGATATGTCCAAAGACATCAACTCCAAAGCCCACTTAGCAATCCGCCCATTTGCTTCGCGGTTGTGCAGTACATCGCCGAGTGGAAATGATGTGACCACCGTTACCGAGTGACCTTGAAAGTAATGAGACAGCTTCCTGGTAGTAATTAAAATACCATATAACAGCTTCTGAACCTGAGGGTACCTCGTTTTGGAGTCGGTCAGGACCTCGCTGACGAAGTAGATTGGTCGCTGAACTTTCCGGACATGGCCTTCTTCCTCACGCTCGACAACCAAGACTGTGCTCACGACCTGGGAGGTGGCTGATAGATACAGCAGCAACGGCTCCTGCGGGTGTGGTGAAGCTAAGACCGGTGGCTTGGTGAGGAGTTGCTTGAAATCTTCGAAAGCCTTCTGTGCTTCGGGTCCCCATTGGAAATTATCTGTTTTCTTCAGTAGCTTGAAGAAGGGCATCCCCCGCTCGCCAAGTTTTGAAACGAATCGGCTGAGCGCCGCCATGCATCCAGTCAACTTCTGAACATCTTTCTGGGTGCTTGGCGGTTTCATGTTGAGGATAGCAGTAACTTTCTCCGGGTTGGCTTGGATGCCCCTATGAGACACCATAAAACCAAGCAGCTTCCCTGACGGTACTCCGAAGGTGCACTTTTCAGGATTCAATTTCATCTTGAAAGCACGGATGCTTGCAAAGGTTTCTTCTAGATCCGAGATCAAATCATCCTTTTGCTTGGTCTTGACGACTACATCATCCACATAGGCTTCAACGTTGCGGCCGATCTGCGTTGAGAAGCATCTTTGGATCATACGTTGATAAGTTGCTCCTGCGTTTTTTAATCCAAACGGCATGGTGACGTAGCAGTATGCCCCAAAAGGCGTGATGAATGAAGTCTTCAAGCAGTCGGATTCCTTCAGTCGGATCTGATGATACCCCGAGTAGCAATCCAGAAAACTGAGAAGCTCGCAGCCGGCGGTTGAGTCAACTACCTGGTCAATGCGAGGCAACCCGAAAGGATCTTTTGGGCAAGATTTGTTAAGGTCAGTGTAATCGACACACATGCGCCATTGCCCTGTCTTTTTCCGAACCAGGACTGGGTTAGCCAGCCAGTCGGGATGAAGGACTTCTTTGATGAAGCCTGCTGCTAACAGCTTGGTCAATTCCTCCTTGATCGCGTCCTTCCTGTCTTGTGCAAATCGGCGGAGTCGTTGTTTAATAGGCTTGGCGTCTTCTTTGACATGTAAGGAGTGCTCAATCACCTCTCTGGGAATACCGGGCATATCCGAAGGTTTCCACGCAAAGATATCTTTATTATTTTGAAGAAAGGTGATGAGCGCGCTTTCCTATTTACAATCTAACTCGGCGCCTATTACAGCAGTTTTGGTAGGATCAGAAGGATCTAAGGGAATCTTTTTAGTCTCGGCTTCGGTTTCCCCACTTTTTGAAATCTTGGCAGCGGGCACTTCTCCTTCGCTCACTGTGGTTGCAGCCAGTCGGATTTCCTCTCGGGCAGACGCCATCTCGCGGGTTTGGGCCATGTCGCAACTCTCCTTGTCGCATGTGACAGCTTGCTTGATGTCGCTCCGTAGGGTTAGGACTCCTCGGGGACCAGGCATCTTCATCATCATGTATGTGTAGTGCGGGACGGCCATGAACTTGGCTAACGCCGGGCGTCCGAGTATGGCATGGTATGCTGTCTCGAAATCGGCAACTTCAAAGCTGATATTCTCTGTGCGGAAGTTTTCCCGAGTGCCAAAAGTGACCGGGAGAGTGATCTGGCCGAGTGGAGTTGCGGATAATCCTGGAATTACTCCATGAAAAGGCGCATTGCTCGGTTTTAACTCGGAGCGAGAGATTTGCATATCATCTAAAGTCTTGGCGAAGAGGATATTGAGTGCACTGCCGCCATCGATGAGGGTTCTGCGAAGCTTGACATTACGGACCACTGGGTCTAGTACCAGGGGGTACCGCCCCGGGTGGACCACTCGGTCAGGATGATCCGAGCGGTCAAACTTGATTGCAATCTCTGACCATCGAAGATACTGGGGTGTGTCGGGCTGAACAGCATTGATCTCCCGTTCGGTCAGCTTTTGCTTCCTTTTAGACTCATAAGCCATGGGGCCGCCGAAAATATGGTTGAGCTCCTTACGGTGGTCTTGAAATCCAGCCGGGGTGTCGCCGTCGTCCTTCTTCCTTGACGTGCTTTGTTCCTCGTCGGAGTTCTTCCGAGTAGACTTGGTGTACTGCTCCGCGAACTGCTTGTAGATGAAGCATTCTTTGGCCACGTGGTTGGAGTTTGGATGATGCGGGCATTGGGAGTTCATGATCTTGTCGAAGGTGTTGACGCGCGAACGCTGTCGAGAAGAGTGAGCGGCGGTTGCAACAAGTTCCTCAGGCTTACGCTTGCGGTCCTTATGATTGTTACTTCCACCTCCTCCCGTAGCCGGCGTATTTTTCGGCTTCCAACTGGGACCCGACTGCTTCGATGCGGTGACGGCGTCTTCGGCTTTGGCGTACTCGTTGGCTTTTTCAAACATGAGCTTGACTGTTCTGGGAGGTTTGCGCCCGAATTTGCCGACCAATTCTTCGTGGCGAATCCCTTTGGTGAATGCGGCGATGATGACGTCGTCGGTGATGTCGGAGATCTTGTTACGTTGTTCAGAAAATCGCCGGATGTAATCTCGAAGAGATTCTCCGGACTTTTGAATGACGTTGTAAAGATCGTATTGTGTGCCGGGACGCTCGAAGGTGCCTTGGAAGTTGGCGATGAAGTGGTCGCGTAGTTCGGCCCAAGATCCAATTGTACCACGGGGCAATCCATGGAGCCAAGATCGGGCGGAATCCGCTAAAGCCACTGGTAAATAGTTCGCCATGGCCTTGTTGTCTCCTCCTGCTGCGCGGATTGCGAGACCGTAGACGGTAAGCCACGATT